TCCGCCACCGCGACCGCCACGGCCTCCACGGCCTCGTCCTCTCCCTCCTCCTGCTCCTCTACCCTCTTGGCCTTGAGCAGGGGTCCAACCATCAGGGAGTTTGTAGCAGTCACGCCACATGTGTCCGCTCTTGTGGCAATAGTGACACTCGCCGTCGAATCGGCCGCGACCGCGTCCGTAGCTCTTGTCGTCGCTGCCGTAACCGCCACTCCTGCGGCCTCCGCCGAAGTTGCTGCCACCAAACCTTCCTCCCCCTCGTCCTCTGCCTCTTCCTCGACCATATCCACGGCCGATGCTCGCTGCCCCAGCGCCATCCGCACTCGCCAACTCACGGCGGCGGAAATCCTCTTGAAGGATAGCTCGCTTCACGTCTTCAAGCGAGAGGCGGGGCAAGTCGCGATTAAGGTTGATGATGAGTGAGGACCATGACTCTGGGAGTAAGGCCAGCAACTTGGTCTTCTTTTGGAGCTCACTGTAGTTCAAATCAGCTCCCTCAAGCCGCGTCAACAAGTCGAAGAATTTCTGCACCCCTTCTTCAACCGCTTCGTCTTCTTCAATTCGTAGTGCCGCCATTTGCCGTTCCAACACCACCGCTACCGCCGCTGTTGCAGGAGCATGTACACCCTTGAGAGCAGCCCATGCCTTTGGTCCTTTCTCTGGTTCACGCTGGAATGGCTTGATGTGACGGATCTGACTGCTCCCCAACGCTTGCCCAAGTAAGAGATAGCCTTGTGCGCTCTTCCGCACCCACGGGCTCTTCTCCGGGTCGTTCTCGGGGCGCTTCTCCGTTCCTTCCATCACCTCCAGCAGGTCATAGTGGTCAAAGATGTTCTCCATCTTGAAGGACCATTCAGCAAAGTTGTCACCGTTGAACTTGTCAAGCCCAAACACCCTAGGCTCATCCCTAGGTGGGCCAAGACTTGGTTGCATGGGCGCCATGGCTGAATCACGGGGTTGGCCTTGAGCTTGAGCTTCTCCACTGCCACCAGCACCTCTGCCACCCCTTTCCTCAGGTCCAGACATTGTCGAAACTGCTCCAAGGGGCTCTGATACCACTTGTTATAGTCACAATAGGCTTGAATGTGCCTAAAACGAAAGATAGAGAGCACAGACGGATTTCTGCACAGCGGCTTCAAACGTTGATAGCGTTCTGCTCACAGCTGCAACTTGGATCTGGAGCGTCTTTACGTCGTCTACAATTAACAATTTAGATTGCACGATTTGATAAAGAATTGACGACACAGCGTCGGTTTGAACGAACGGTACTATGGCAGCCACTATAGTCTTAGAACACAAGATAGGAAGAGTTACGAGTTGGGAATGACTCCCAGCTCCTACAAACCCCAAGAGCCGAGGTACAGTGATGTGGAACAGTGCCACACTGTCCCCAACCACGAAGGGTCTCGAAACTACCCTTCACTAGGGCCTACACCAAGTGAAATATTACACTACACAAAGTAATGTAACTATCTTCAATATCTTGAGGTGTACCCTTTTTTGGCGAGCTTCGAAATCACTTGAGGCTTGACACCAAGGCTCGGGCTCTTCATCACAAACTCATCCTTGAGTTCTTGATGGGTCTGCTGCACACACCTGCGACACGCCGAACGTTCGACACAGGACAAAATAGAAACCGCGCATGACAAAATAGAAACCGCGCGCGAGACACAAACGACCGCGTAACACGCGTCTAGCGATAACTCGCTATTGACTCGACACACACACTCGACATCATGACTCAACATTCACACACAATTATAAGCATGAAATATATATTATCCCATGCCCTCATACCATTCCATACACACACACATTCACGCACACGGACAACAAGCCGAGTGCAAACCGTAGGGTTGCACCAACAGAAACAAGAACCACCCCAACTTGGTGTTTTGAGTCGACTCAAAACACGCTCCGCACCCCTCTGCCTGCCTTGCTGTCCCCCAGGTGGCGGAGATGGGAAACAAGAACCACCCCAACTTGGTGTTTTGAGTCGACTCAAAACACGCTCCGCACCCCTCTGCTTGCCTTGCTGTCCCCCAGGTGGCGGAGATGGGAAACAAGAACCACCCCAACTTGGTGTTTTGAGTCGACTCAAAACACGCTCCGCACCCCTCTGCTTGCCTTGCTGTCCCCCAGGTGGCGGAGATGGGAAACAAGAACCACCCCAACTTGGTGTTTTGAGTCGACTCAAAACACGCTCCGCACCCCTCTGCTTGCCTTGCTGTCCCCCAGGTGGCGGAGATGGGAAACAAGAACCACCCCAACTTGGTGTTTTGAGTCGACTCAAAACACGCTCCGCACCCCTCTGCTTGCCTTGCTGTCCCCCTGGTGGCGGAGATGGGAAACAAGAACCACCCCAACTTGGTGTTTTGAGTCGACTCAAAACACGCTCCGCACCCCTCTGCTTGCCTTGCTGTCCCCCTGGTGGCGGAGATGGGAAACAAGAACCACCCCAACTTGGTGTTTTGAGTCGACTCAAAACACGCTCCGCACCCCTCTGCTTGCCTTGCTGTCCCCCTGGTGGCGGAGATGGGAAACAAGAACCACCCCAACTTGGTGTTTTGAGTCGACTCAAAACACGCTCCGCACCCCTCTGCTTGCCTTGCTGTCCCCCTGGTGGCGGAGATGGGAAACAAGAACCACCCCAACTATGTGTTTTGAGTCGACTCAAAACACGCTCCGCACCCCTCTGCTTGCCTTGCTGTCCCCCTGGTGGCGGAGATGGGCAACAAGAACCACCCCAACTTGGTGTTTTGAGTCGACTCAAAACACGCTCCGCACCCCTCTGCTTGCCTTGCTGTCCCCCTGGTGGCGGAGATGGGCAACAAGAACCACCCCAACTTGGTGTTTTGAGTCGACTCAAAACACGCTCCGCACCCCTCTGCTTGCCTTGCTGTCCCCCTGGTGGCGGAGATGGGAAACAAGAACCACCCCAACTTGGTGTTTTGAGTCGACTCAAAACACGCTCCGCACCCCTCTGCTTGCCTTGCTGTCCCCCTGGTGGCAGAGATGGGAAACAAGAACCACCCCAACTTGGTGTTTTGAGTCGACTCAAAACACGCTCCGCACCCCTCTGCTTGCCTTGCTGTCCCCCTGGTGGCGGAGATGGGAAACAAGAACCACCCCAACTAGGTGTTTTGAGTCGACTCAAAACACGCTCCGCACCCCTCTGCTTGCCTTGCTGTCCCCCTGGTGGCGGAGATGGGAAACAAGAACCACCCCAACTTGGTGTTTTGAGTCGACTCAAAACACGCTCCGCACCCCTCTGCTTGCCTTGCTGTCCCCCTGGTGGCGGAGATGGGAAACAAGAACCACCCCAACTTGGTGTTTTGAGTCGACTCAAAACACGCTCCGCACCCCTCTGCTTGCCTTGCTGTCCCCCTGGTGGCGGAGATGGGAAACAAGAACCACCCCAACTTGGTGTTTTGAGTCGACTCAAAACACGCTCCGCACCCCTCTGCTTGCCTTGCTGTCCCCCTGGTGGCGGAGATGGGAAACAAGAACCACCCCAACTTGGTGTTTTGAGTCGACTCAAAACACGCTCCGCACCCCTCTGCTTGCCTTGCTGTCCCCCTGGTGGCGGAGATGGGAAACAAGAACCACCCCAACTTGGTGTTTTGAGTCGACTCAAAACACGCTCCGCACCCCTCTGCTTGCCTTGCTGTCCCCCTGGTGGCGGAGATGGGCAACAAGAACCACCCCAACTTGGTGTTTTGAGTCGACTCAAAACACGCTCCGCACCCCTCTGCTTGCCTTGCTGTCCCCCTGGTGGCGGAGATGGGCAACAAGAACCACCCCAACTTGGTGTTTTGAGTCGACTCAAAACACGCTCCGCACCCCTCTGCTTGCCTTGCTGTCCCCCTGGTGGCGGAGATGGGCAACAAGAACCACCCCAACTTGGTGTTTTGAGTCGACTCAAAACACGCTCCGCACCCCTCTGCTTGCCTTGCTGTCCCCCTAGTGGCGGAGATGGGCAACAAGAACCACCCCAACTTGGTGTTTTGAGTCGACTCAAAACACGCTCCGCACCCCTCTGCTTGCCTTGCTGTCCCCCTGGTGGCGGAGATGGGAAACAAGAACCACCCCAACTTGGTGTTTTGAGTCGACTCAAAACACGCTCCGCACCCCTCTGCTTGCCTTGCTGTCCCCCTGGTGGCGGAGATGGGAAACAAGAACCACCCCAACTTGGTGTTTTGAGTCGACTCAAAACACGCTCCGCACCCCTCTGCTTGCCTTGCTGTCCCCCTGGTGGCGGAGATGGGAAACAAGAACCACCCCAACTTGGTGTTTTGAGTCGACTCAAAACACGCTCCGCACCCCTCTGCTTGCCTTGCTGTCCCCCTGGTGGCGGAGATGGGAAACAAGAACCACCCCAACTTGGTGTTTTGAGTCGACTCAAAACACGCTCCGCACCCCTCTGCTTGCCTTGCTGTCCCCCTGGTGGCGGAGATGGGAAACAAGAACCACCCCAACTTGGTGTTTTGAGTCGACTCAAAACACGCTCCGCACCCCTCTGCTTGCCTTGCTGTCCCCCAGGTGGCGGAGATGGGAAACAAGAACCACCCCAACCTGGTGCGCCTGATGGATCACGAACCTGGTGAACCTGGTGCCCTGGTCCTGCACCAACCCGTGAGGATCACGAACAAGACAAGCAAACGGGAAATCATCCCCCCGCTGCTGCGATGGAAATTTCGAGTGACGAGCCTGCGACGACTATTTTCCCCGTTGCTGCTGTCAACCTGACATCCGTTCAAGATACGCCCGTCGTCATTCCGGAGCCTTTTAAAGGCTGGGCTTTGAAGGCTGTCAGGGATTTTCGAAAGGACTTCAAGGCGCTCCTCAAGGCGAGGTCGAAATTGAAGAAGATGAAGACGCTCAACGAGCAGGGTGTGATTCTGCATAGTATTCGCACGAAAGCTGTTGAGTTTCAGACCAAGTACCCTCAGACGCGGGAAAAGTCTGCTGCATCGGTCGCGTCGGTTCATCACGAGAATCAGATGCGCATTCAACAGGACTTCATCAAGTCTAAGGAGTTGGAGGTTGAAGAGATCCTGGCGGCTTCCTCTTCACACCTTACCGCTTTGGCGACTAAGACCGAAGACTACATCAAAAGCCTTACCACCGACCCCGAGCTCACCGTGTCTGATGCGGCGAAGGAGCGATTCCGGAAGATTAAGGGTCAGTGTATCGAGAAGGCTAAGTCGGAGGTGTCTAACGCCAGGGATGAGCTCGTCATCCGAGAGTTGGTAATGCAGAAGGAAAAGGAAGCCGAGGATTTGAAGAAGGCTGCTGCTGCCGAAGAGATGGAACATATGGAGACGGATCCGGCAATCGACGAGCTGATTCGGAAAGCTACAAAGGAGTACGGCGAGACGCTACGCAAGGAGATCACAGCGAGCGTTGAGGCGAAACTCACTGCTAAGTTCAAGAAGAACTTGTCGATGGGACCACAGGATCCCAAGCCGGCCCCTGCGTCCACGAAGCCCAAGGCGGACCCGTCCAAGGACCAGAAATTTTCTGGCACCAAGGCAGATGTACCGAAGGCTACGAGGAAACGCGGGAAAACCAAGAAGAAAGTGAAATCTCAAGGCGGCGGCAGGGGGAAGGGCCAAGAAGCATCCTCGACCAAGGCCCAAGTTCCAAAAAACGGCGGCGGCGGCCCAGGAAAAGGGCCGCGCAAGAACTAACGATAAGGGATCTGGCGCTCCAGCGATTCGGACGACTGACTCTACGGCAGGCGCAGTCACGCGTTCGGAATCGTGGAGTACATAACCTGAGTTCTAAGGTTTTGTCTCACGACGAGACCTTGGCGCTTGGGATGGGTCTCAAATTTATACCAACGCCTCCATGGAACTTTTCTATCGCTGCAGATCTCGATCAACTGCACCGACGGATCTCCCTCAATCTCTTCTTCAAGGACAAAGGGTCGTCGTCCTCATCCCGTTTCCGGGTGAGGAATCCTAACTGGTGGCCCGAAAGGGACGTGGTCCCGGAGCAGGTCTTCAAGTCGGCGCAAGCCGATCTGTCTTTCCTGTTGAAGACGGTTCGTCCTCGCCGTGGGCACAATCTAACTAAGAGTGCTCGGGAGGCGATTCGTTCCCTGTCGTTGAACCGCAACATCGTCATTAAACCTGCAGATAAGAACGTCGGCATCACAGTGATGGATCGAAGCCACTACGTCGCGCTCTGCATGGAACATCTCAGCGACGCAGATGTCTATCTTCCGGTTCGCCACGACCCGATTCTGAACGTTCTACGGCAGCTGAGTGAGCTGAAAGCGACGTGGGGACCTGCTTTTCCTGACACCCTGTGGAAATACTTTTTCGACAAACCACCTGGTGGATGGCGTCCAGCGGCATTCTACATCTTGCCGAAACTCCATAAGAAAGTGCCTGTGGGACGACCGATCGCCGCCTCACATTCTTGGGTTACTACTAATGCGAGTAGATGGCCGGATTCGCAATTAAGACCGCTGGTGTTGAAACGCGCCACCTACCTGCGTGATTCCCTCTCGCTACTGACGAAGTTAGAAGCTACAGCTTTCCCGCCTAACATTCTTCTAGCTACATACGACGTTACCTCGCTCTACCCCAGCATTTCCATCGATTGAGGGCTCGAAGCAGTTAGTAGCTTTCTGATGAGGGACCAGACGCAGCTCTCCTCACCACTCATGGCCCTGCTGGGTTGGGTCATGAGAAACTCCTTTGTTGAGTTTGACGGCCGAGTATATCATCAGGTGCGAGGGACAGCGATGGGAACTCCGGTCGCTGTTTGCTTCGCCATACTCTTCATGAGCCGCCTGGATGAGCTGCTGAGGGAGAGGTGGACTCGGGTGTCACCAAGTTACCACGTCCGATATATAGATGATGGCCTGATTCTTTGGCCAAGTACGCGGGCAGATTTAGAGGAGTACCTGCGCACCTTCAACGGCTTGGATCCTAACATTAGGATCACGTGGAGCATCTTAGATCACTCGGTAGACTTTCTGGACGTGGTTCTTTCTAAAGGGCCTCGTTTTGCTGAGTGTGGTATCCTAGACTTCGCTACATTCCAGAAGCCGATGAATAGGTACCTATACCTCCCCTTCTCCTCATTTCACCCCCGACACTGTAAGGAGGGATTCATTCGAGCCGAGCTGCAACGTTACGTACTACGTTCGACATCAGCATCGACCTTCCGAACGACGAAGCATGCTTTCTTCCGGCGGCTTCGTGATCGGGGTTACCCCCCTGCGTTCCTGCGACCGATCTTCAGCAGCGTCCTTTTCGCACATCGTGCGACACTCTTCGCCAACACTCTCGCCAACCAGTTCCAGCGACAAAACTCCCCTCCCTCTGACCGCGGACCCCTAGTCCTGAAGACGACCTACACACCTGTGTCGGCTCGCCTCGGACTAGGGGTTGTTTTGAGACGTCTCAAAAGTCGTCTACTTACACGCGGATTTTATATAAAGGGTTGTTTTGTTGCTTGGAAAACTGGGTGTAACCTGCAAAGGTTACTGGTTCGCGCGAGGCTCCCTGAGTACCAGCTGGCGGATTGTGCTACTTCAACGTTACGCCACGAGGAATGAAGACCCCGAAGACTTGGACTTTTCTAGGTCGTCAGGGATTGGCCAACCAGATTTCTGGCCACGGTTGCAAACAACCTGGAATTTTGTTTTCCGAAACGTAGTGTTTGCCTAAATGCTTCGTCTTCCTCACTCTCTTTCATTTCCACTCGCACTGATGAAGGTGTGATTGGGGCCTGTCCCGTCACCCGAAACTAGTTTGCCTCGTTTTAATCTTTTAGTGGAATTTTGAGTCGGATTTCTTGAAACTCCTTGTTTTTAGCAGGAAATACAACAGTTCGTACTGTTAATCCTTTGCTAAAGAATTCTTTTAAGACTGCTGCTCGCCTAATCATATGGCTGAAGGTACCTGCTGGGGTACTGCGACGAGCGCGACAAGCAGGGGCGGTGGGAGAAGGTGGTGGTGTACGAGTTCGTGACTGCTGGTTGCCTCCTGGACCTGTTTCAACCAGGTGGGTTTTCAGACGTCTCATAACGCGACAAGCAGGCAGGGGCGGTGGGAGAAGGTGGTGGTGTATGAATTCATGACTGCCGGAAGTTTTGTTGACATGTTTCAACCGGGTGGGTCTGGTCTCAGGCATGCCGCTTCACCCACCTCTCTTTCTGACGAGGTGACTTTTGAGTCGACACAAGTGCCCCATCACGCACCTCTCTTTCTGACTGAGCCCATGTCGCAGTAAGTGCAATAAGTATTCGTACCGACTCCAAACATGTAGGTGCTGTGTGTGCCTGTTCTTCCTCTTTCTTGCCCTTGTCCTCGCCTGTCCTGCCTCAGGTACTTCTGTTGTGCATTTGGCCCCCTTGACCACCTTGACCACCTTGACCACCTTGACCGCCTTGACCGCCTTGACCACCTTGACCCCCTTGACTCCCTTGACCCCATTGACCCCCTTGACCCCCTTGGCCCCCGTGGCTCTGGTAGGTCTGCCCGCCCTTGGCCTACCATCCACCCACCGCACATTTCTATTCAGTTACGTTGGTGCGTTATTTCAATCTATCTACCCTACAGCGTGTTCTTTCTCTTCTCCTGGCAGGTTGCACTGGCGTGCCGTTGTCTCTGCAGCAGCGGCTCGGCATTCTGATAGGGGTGGCGCACGGGCTGGAGTATCTGCACAGCTTTGGCATCATGCTGACTCTTGCGTCGACTCAAAAGTCAACTCGCATTCTTTATCCTCTCCTCCTCGCAGGTTGCACTGGCGTGCCGTTGTCCCTGCAGCAGCGGCTGGGCATTCTGATAGGGGTGGCACATGGGTTGGAGTACCTGCACAGCTTTGGCATCATGCATCGCTGCCTTTGCGTTAGAAGCATCTTTCTGGATGGCAACATGCAGGTTAGTGAGTGTGCTGTGAGTGTGCTGTGAGTGTGCTGTGAGTATGCTGTGAGTGTGCTGTGAGTGTGCTGTGAGTGTGCTGTGAGTGTGCTGTGAGTGTGCTGTGAGTGTGCTGTGAGTGTGCTGTGAGTGTGCTGTGAGTGTGCTGTGAGTGTGCTGTGAGTGTGCTGTGAGTGTGATGTGAGTGTGCTGTGAGTGTGCTGTGAGGGTACCATCATCCTCCACACGACACCACACAAAACCACACGAAACCACACAAAACCACACGACACCACACGACACCACATGAGAGCACACGACTCGCAAACATGCTACGTCACATGTGGACCCGCACCTGCTGCTCACCCAGGAGCACACACCCACCAATGACCTCTAAGGTGCGGGTCGCTGTAACCACTGTAACCACGCACGCAGTAACTAACAACGACTAACAACCACTAGCAACCACTAGCAACCACTAGCAACCACTAACAATCCCTAGCAACCACTAACAACCAGTAACAACCACAAAAGACCTCTACAAGTGCGGGTCCCTGTACTGTAGAGACGTCTCAAAAGGCTGCAGCGAGTGGAGAGCAGTCTAAGAGCGGTGCTGCTGCAGCTGCTGTCAGGCCGCATTTCCGTCCCTGCTCTCCTGCCCATCCCTGCTCTCCTGCCCATCCCTGCTCTCCTGCCCATCCCTGCTCTCCTGCCCATCCCTGCTCTCCTGCCCATCCCTGCTCTCCTGCCCATCCCTGCTCTCCTGCCCATCCCTGCTCTCCTGCCCATCCCTGCTCTCCTGCCCATCCCTGCTCTCCTGCCCATCCCTGCTCTCCTGCCCGTCCCTGCTCTCCTGCCCGTCCCTGCTCCTGCCGTCCCTCCTCTCCTGCCCGTCCCTGCTCTCCTGCCCGTCCCTGCTCTCCTGCCCATCCCTGCTCTCCTGCCCATCCCTGCTCTCCTGCCCATCCCTGCTCTCCTGCCCATCCCTGCTCTCCTGCCCATCCCTGCTCTCCTGCCCATCCCTGCTCTCCTGCCCGTCCCTGCTCTCCTGCCCGTCCCTGCTCTCCTGCCCGTCCCTGCTCTCCTGCCCGTCCCTGCTCTCCTGCCCATCCCTGCTCTCCTGCCCGTCCCTGCTCTCCTGCCCGTCCCTGCTCTCCTACCCATCCCTGCTCTCCTACCCGTCCCTGCTCTCCTGCCCGTCCCTGCTCTCCTGCCCGTCCCTGCTCTCCTGCTCAGCCCTGCTCTCCTGCCCATCCCTGCTCTCCTGCCCATCCCTGCTCTCCTGCCCATCCCTGCTCTCCTGCCCATCCCTGCTCTCCTGCCCATCCCTGCTCTCCTGCCCATCCCTGCTCTCCTGCCCATCCCTGCTCTCCTGCCCATCCCTGCTCTCCTGCCCATCCCTGCTCTCCTGCCCATCCCTGCTCTCCTGCCCATCCCTGCTCTCCTGCCCATCCCTGCTCTCCTGCCCATCCCTGCTCTCCTGCCCATCCCTGCTCTCCTGCCCATCCCTGCTCTCCTGCCCATCCCTGCTCTCCTGCCCATCCCTGCTCTCCTGCCCATCCCTGCTCTCCTGCCCATCCCTGCTCTCCTGCCCATCCCTGCTCTCCTGCCCATCCCTGCTCTCCTGCCCATCCCTGCTCTCCTGCCCATCCCTGCTCTCCTGCCCATCCCTGCTCTCCTGCCCATCCCTGCTCTCCTGCCCATCCCTGCTCTCCTGCCCATCCCTGCTCTCCTGCCCATCCCTGCTCTCCTGCCCATCCCTGCTCTCCTGCCCATCCCTGCTCTCCTGCCCATCCCTGCTCTCCTGCCCATCCCTGCTCTCCTGCCCATCCCTGCTCTCCTGCCCATCCCTGCTCTCCTGCCCAGCCCTGCTCTCCTGCCCGTCCCTGCTCTCCTGCCCGTCCCTGCTCTCCTGCCCGTCCCTGCTCTCCTGCCCGTCCCTGCTCTCCTGCCCATCCCTGCTCTCCTGCCCGTCCCTGCTCTCCTGCCCGTCCCTGCTCTCCTGCCCGTCCCTGCTCTCCTGCTCATCCCTGCTCTCCTGCCCATCCCTGCTCTCCTGCCCATCCCTGCTCTCCTGCCCATCCCTGCTCTCCTGCCCGTCCCTGCTCTCCTGCCCATCCCTGCTCTCCTGCCCATCCCTGCTCTCCTGCCCATCCCTGCTCTCCTGCCCATCCGTGCTCTCCTGCCCATCCCTGCTCTCCTGCCCATCCCTGCTCTCCTGCCCATCCCTGTTCTCCTGCCCATCCCTGCTCTCCTGCCCATCCCTGCTCTCCTGCCCATCCCTGCTCTCCTGCCCATCCCTGCTCTCCTGCCCGTCCCTGCTCTCCTGCCCGTCCCTGCTCTCCTGCCCGTCCCTGCTCTCCTGCCCGTCCCTGCTCTCCTGCCCGTCCCTGCTGTCCTGCCCATCCCTGCTCTCCTGCCCGTCCCTGCTCTCCTGCCCGTCCCTGCTCTCCTGCCCGTCCCTGCTCTCCTGCCCATCCCTGCTCTCCTGCCCGTCCCTGCTCTCCTGCCCATCCCTGCTCTCCTGCCCATCCCTGCTCTCCTGCCAATCCCTGCTCTCCTGCCCATCCCTGCTCTCCTGCCCATCCCTGCTCTCCTGCCCGTCCCCGCTCTCCTGCCCGTCCCTGCTCTCCTGCCCGTCCCTGCTCTCCTGCCCATCCCTGCTCTCCTGCCCATCCCTGCTCTCCTGCCCATCCCTGCTCTCCTACCCATCCCTGCTCTCCTGCCCGTCCCTGCTCTCCTGCCCGTCCCTGCTCTCCTGCCCATCCCTGCTCTTCTGCCCGTCCCTGCTCTCCTGCCCGTCCCTGCTCTCCTGCCCGTCCCTGCTCTCCTGCCCGTCCCTGCTCTCCTGCCCATCCCTGCTCTCCTGCCCATCCCTGCTCTCCTGCCCATCCTGCTCTCCTGCCCATCCCTGCTCTCCTGCCCATCCCTGCTCTCCTGCCCATCCCTGCTCTCCTGCCCATCCCTGCTCTCCTGCCCATCCCTGCTCTCCTGCCCGTCCCCGCTCTCCTGCCCGTCCCTGCTCTCCTGCCCATCCCTGCTCTCCTGCCCATCCCTGCTCTCCTGCCCGTCCCCGCTCTCCTGCCCGTCCCTGCTCTCCTGCCCATCCCTGCTCTCCTGCCCATCCCTGCTCTCCTGCCCGTCCCTGCTCTCCTGCACGTCCCTGCTCTCCTGCCCGTCCCTGCTCTCCTGCCCATCCCTGCTCTCCTGCCCGTCCCTGCTCTCCTGCCCGTCCCTGCTCTCCTGCCCATCCCTGCTCTCCTGCCCGTCCCTGCTCTCCTGCCCGTCCCTGCTGTCCTGCCCGTCCCTGCTCTATTGCCCATCCCTGCTCTCCTGCCCGTCCCTGCTCTCCTGCCCGTCCCTGCTCTCCTGCCCGTCCCTGCTCTCCTGCCCGTCCCTGCTCTCCTGCCCATCCCTCCTCTCCTGCCCATCCCTGCTCTCCTGCCCATCCCTGCTCTCCTGCCCATCCCTGCTCTCCTGCCCATCCCTGCTCTCCTGCCCATCCCCGCTCTCCTGCCCGTCCCCGCTCTCCTGCCCGTCCCTGCTCTCCTGCCCATCCCTGCTCTCCTGCCCATCCCTGCTCTCCTGCCCATCCCTGCTCTCCTGCCCATCCCTGCTCTCCTGCCCATCCCTGCTCTCCTACCCATCCCTGCTCTCCTGCCCGTCCCTGCTCTCCTGCCCGTCCCTGCTCTCCTGCCCGTCCCTGCTCTCCTGCCCGTCCCTGCTCTCCTGCCCATCCCTGCTCTCCTGCCCGTCCCTGCTCTCCTGCCCGTCCCTGCTCTCCTGCCCATCCCTGCTCTCCTGCCCGTCCCTGCTCTCCTGCTCATCCCTGCTCTCCTGCTCATCCCTGCTCTCCTGCCCATCCCTGCTCTCCTGCCCATCCCTGCTCTCCTGCCCATCCCTGCTCTCCTGCCCATCTATGCTCTCTTGCCCATCCCTGCTCTCCTGCCCATCCCTGCTCTCCTGCCCATCCCTGTTCTCCTGCCCATCCCTGCTCTCCTGCCCATCCCTGATCTCCTGCCCATCCCTGCTCTCCTGCCCATCCCTGATCTCCTGCCCATCCCTGCTCTCCTGCCCATCCCTGCTCTCCTACCCATCCCTGCTCTCCTGCCCGTTCCTGCTCTCCTGCCCGTCCCTGCTCTCCTGCCCATCCCTGCTCTCCTGCCCATCCCTGCTCTTCTGCCCGTCCCTGCTCTCCTGCCCATCCCTGCTCTCCTGCCCATCTATGCTCTCTTGCCCATCCCTGCTCTCCTGCCCATCCCTGCTCTCCTGCCCATCCCTGCTCTCCTGCCCATCCCTGCTCTCCTGCCCATCCCTGCTCTCTTGCCCGTCCCCGCTCTCGTGCCCGTCCCTGCTCTCCTGCCCATCCCTGCTCTCCTGCCCATCCCTGCTCTCCTGCCCATCCCTGCTCTCCTGGTCATCCCTGCTCTCCTGCCCATCCCTGCTCTCCTGCCCATCCTGCTCTCCTGCCCATCCCTGCTCTCCTGCCCATCCCTGCTCTCCTGCCCATCCCTGCTCTCCTGCCCATCCCTGCTCTCCTGCCCATCTCTGCTCTCCTGCCCATCCCTGCTCTCCTGCCCATCCCTGCTCTCCTGCCCATCCCTGCTCTCCTGCTCATCCCTGCTCTCCTGCCCATCCCTGCTCTCCTGCCCATCCTGCTCTCCTGCCCATCCCTGCTCTCCTGCCCATCCCTGCTCTCCTGCCCATCCCTGCTCTCGTGCCCATCCCTGCTCTCCTGCCCATCCCTGCTCTCCTGCCCATCCCTGCTCTCCTGCCCATCCCTGCTCTCCTGCCCATCCCTGCTCTCCTGCCCATCCCTGCTCTCCTGCCCATCCCTGCTCTCCTGCCCATCCCTGCTCTCCTGCCCATCCCTGCTCTCCTGCCCGTCCCTGCTCTCCTGCCCATCCCTGATCTCCTGCCCATCCCTGCTCTCCTGCCCATCCCTGCTCTCCTGCCCGTTCCTGCTCTCCTGCCCGTCCCTGCTCTCCTGCCCATCCCTGCTCTCCTGCCCATCCCTGCTCTTCTGCCCGTCCCTGCTCTCCTGCCCATCCCTGCTCTCCTGCCCATCTATGCTCTCTTGCCCATCCCTGCTCTCCTGCCCATCCCTGCTCTCCTGCCCATCCCTGCTCTCCTGCCCATCCCTGCTCTCCTGCCCATCCCTGCTCTCCTGCCCGTCCCCGCTCTCGTGCCCGTCCCTGCTCTCCTGCCCATCCCTGCTCTCCTGCCCATCCCTGCTCTCCTGCCCATCCCTGCTCTCCTGGTCATCCCTGCTCTCCTGCCCATCCCTGCTCTCCTGCCCATCCTGCTCTCCTGCCCATCCCTGCTCTCCTGCCCATCCCTGCTCTCCTGCCCATCCCTGCTCTCCTGCCCATCCCTGCTCTCCTGCCCATCTCTGCTCTCCTGCCCATCCCTGCTCTCCTGCCCATCCCTGCTCTCCTGCCCATCCCTGCTCTCCTGCTCATCCCTGCTCTCCTGCCCATCCCTGCTCTCCTGCCCATCCTGCTCTCCTGCCCATCCCTGCTCTCCTGCCCATCCCTGCTCTCCTGCCCATCCCTGCTCTCGTGCCCATCCCTGCTCTCCTGCCCATCCCTGCTCTCCTGCACATCCCTGCTCTCCTGCCCATCCCTGCTCTCCTCCCCATCCCTGCTCTCCTGCCCATCCCTGCTCTCCTGCCCATCCCTGCTCTCCTGCCCATCCCTGCTCTCCTGCCCATCCCTGATCTCCTGCCCATCCCTGCTCTCCTGCCCATCCCTGCTCTCCTACCCATCCCTGCTCTTCTGCCCGTCCCTGCTCTCCTGCCCGTCCCTGCTCTCCTGCCCATCCCTGCTCTTCTGCCCGTCCCTGCTCTCCTGCCCGTCCCTGCTCTCCTGCCCGTCCCTGCTCTCCTGCCCATCCCTGATCTCCTGCCCGTCCCTGCTCTCCTGCCTGTCCCTGCTCTCCTGCCCATCCCTGCTCTCCTGCCCATCCCTGCTCTCCTGCCCGTCCCTGCTCTCCTGCCCGTCCCTGCTCTCCTGCCCCTCCCTGCTCTCCTGCCCGTCCCTGCTCTCCTGCCTGTCCCTGCTCTCCTGCCCATCCCTGCTCTCCTGCCCGTCCCTGCTCTCCTGCCCGTCCCTGCTCTCCTGCCCGTCCCTGCTCTCCTGCCCGTCCCTGCTCTCCTGCCCATCCCTGCTCTCCTGCCCATCCCTGCTCTCCTGCCCATCCCTGCTCTCCTGCCCATCCCTGCTCTCCTGCCCATCCCTGCTCTCCTGCCCATCCCTGCTCTCCTGCCCATCCCTGCTCTCCTGCCCATCCCTGCTCTCCTGCCCATCCCTGCTCTCCTGCCCATCCCTGCTCTCCTGCCCATCCCTGCTCTCCTGCCCATCCCTGCTCTCCTACCCATCCCTGCTCTTCTGCCCGTTCCTGCTCTCCTGCCCGTCCCTGCTCTCCTGCCCATCCCTGCTCTCCTGCCCATCCCTGCTCTTCTGCCCGTCCCTGCTCTCCTGCCCGTCCCTGCTCTCCTGCCCGTCCCTGCTCTCCTGCCTGTCCCTGCTCTCCTGCCCATCCCTGCTCTCCTACCCATCCCTGCTCTCCTGCCCGTCCCTGCTCTCCTGCCCGTCCCTGCTCTCCTGCCCATCCCTGCTCTCCTGCCCGTCCCTGCTCTCCTGCCTGTCCCTGCTCTCCTGCCCATCCCTGCTCTCCTGCCCGTCCCTGCTCTCCTGCCCGTCCCTGCTCTCCTGCCCGTCCCTGCTCTCCTGCCCGTCCCTGCTCTCCTGCCCGTCCCTGCTCTCCTGCCCGTCCCTGCTCTCCTGCCCATCCCTGCTCTCCTGCCCATCCCTGCTCTCCTGCTCATCCCTGCTCTCCTGCCCATCCCTGCTCTCCTGCCCATCCCTGCTCTCCTGCCCATCCCTGCTCTCCTGCCCATCCCTGCTCTCCTGCCCATCCCTGCATGCTCCTCCCTCCATGCTCCTCCCTCCATGCTCCTCCCTCCATGCTCCTCCCTCCATGCTCCTCCCTCCATGCTCCTCCCTCCATGCTCCTCCCTCCATGCTCCTCCCTCCATGCTCCTCCCTCCATGCTCCTCCCTCCATGCTCCGCCCCCCATGCTCCTCTCTCCATGGTTCTCCCCCAACCTGTTTCCCAGCATCTACCCACCTTCTCGGGGTCATGGTGTTTCTGTTCTGGGTTCCACGTTCAGGTCTGAATTCCGCCTCTGACTCCTCCCCCACCTGCCCTTCACCCCGCACCACGTTGAAATGCAGCTTCAAGCCAACAACTTTGCTGCTCTATTCGATCCCGCTCTCACCTCCTCGTGTATGAAGAAGTGTTTTGAGACGTCTCAAAACGCTCTCACCTCCTCTTTCTCCCCCCTTGCACTGTCCCCCATGCTCCTCCCCACCCTCTATGTTCCTGCCCTTCACCCCGCACCACGTTGACACGTAGCTTCAAGCCAACAACTTGGCTGCTCTCTTCGATCCCGCCCTCGCCTCCTCTTTCCTCCCCCCTTGCTCTGTCCCCCATGCTCCACCCTCTATGTTCCCTCCCTTCACCCGCACCACGTTGACACGCAGCTTCAAGCCAACAACTTGGCTGCTCTCTTCGATCCCGCTCTCACCTCCTCGTGTATGAAGAAGTGTTTTGAGACGTCTCAAAACGCTCTCACCTCCTCTTTCTCCCCCCTTGCACTGTCCCCCATGCTCTACCCCACCCTCTATGCTCCCGCCCTTCACCCCGCACCACGTTGACACACAGTTTCAAGCCAACAAGTTGCCTGCTCTCTTCGATCCCGCGCTCGCCTCCTCTTTCCTCCCACCCACCACCGATACCAGCGCCAGCATTCCCACCAGCAGCACCAGCAGCAGCACCAGCGCACTCTCCAGCACCGTCAGCACCACCACTGCAGGCACAGCAGCTGCCAGCGCTGCTGATGCTACACTGGGTGTTGCCAATGTTCCCGACCGACTGGGAACAGTGGTTATGCTGATGCTACAGTGGTTATGCTGATGCTACAGTGGTTATGCTGATGCTACAGTGGTTATGCTGATACCGAATGCTCTTATTCCTAGCTTGGTGCGGCTGGCTCGTGTCGGGCTCGCATGCACCGCCATGCCTGCTTCCTCCCGGCCCTCCTTGGGACGAGTTCTTGCTGAGCTGGAGATAGTGCGTGATGACGTGGCAACAGCACTGAGGCATATGGAGGAAGAGGTGGAAAATCAAGAAGGGGACTTGCAGGGAGGAGGGGGGGGTGTCGTGGCAGGCAATAGGGGAAATGAGATTTTGGACTCGTGGGCTAATCTTTCCCACACTGACCCTGCCTCCTCCTCATCTCCCAATCCCTCAACTCCTCCTTCGCAGCTTCATTCATCCTCCTTCTCCCTCTCTTGTGGTCGCCCCCTCCTCCTCCGCCCTCCTCCCAGTGCCGCTGCTGTGCCAGCAGGTGGCCATGGCGGATGTGCTACGCGCAACAGGAGGGTGGGCGGAGGACAGGCGCATAGGCAGCGGCGGGTATGGCGACGTGTACCGAGCAGTGAGCCCTCTCGACGGCTGCACGCCCTGGGCTGTGAAGCGTGCTAGAGTTCTCACCAACGACTTTCGGCGCGAGGTGTGGTTGTGTTTTGAGTCGACTCAATAGCCCATGACTGCACGCCCTGGGCTGTGAAGTGCGCTAGAGTTCTCACCAACGACTTTAGACGCGAGGTGTGGTTGTTGTGACTTTTGAGTCGACTCGATAGTCGAAGGCTGCCGGCCCTGGGTTGTGAAGCACGCCCTGGGCTGTGAAGCACGCCCTGGGTTGTGAAGCACGCCCTGGGCTGTGAAGCACGCCATGGGTTGTGAAGCACGCCCTGGGCTGTGAAGCACGCCCTGGGTTGTGAAGCACTCCCTGGGCTGTGAAGGGCGCCAGAGTGTGAGGTGCTTACCAACGACTTTCGATGTGAGGTGTGGTTGGTGGGATGATGTGGTTTGATATTGATGCGATGGGGGTGAGAGTAGGGGCGGGATAATGAGACATGTGCCCAGAAACAACTACGTAAGAGGGCAACGGTTCCAAAAAGAGGCCACGTTGCACTTAGGTGGGAACCCGCTTTTGAGGCGCCTCAAAAGATGATAATGGGAGATGTGCCCAGCAACAATGACGTACGAGGGCAACGTGTTTTGAGTCGACTCAAAACAAAACACGACTCAAAACACGAGATGTGCCCAACAACAATGACATACGAGGCCAACTCCAAGTTGCAGTTAGGTGTGAGCCAAGTTGGGGACTGAATGAAGTGAAATGCAACAAGCACGAGCTATTGATCCGATGCTGTGTTTTGCCCCTATGGGTCCTTCCTCTCCTATGCATTGAGAGGACGGACCTCCATGCCTCCCTATCCCCCCCCACCCTCCTCATCCTGTCCCCCCATCCTACCCTGTCACTCCCTCCCTGCCTCACTCCGTTGGGGTGGTGTCAGACCAACCAGTGGCATCGGGGCACCACCCCAACCTGGTGCGGTTGCTGGGGTTCTGAATTCCTGCCTCCCTGATCCCTCCCCCCTACCCCCCATACACATCCCCCTCATAGATCAACGAGATGGCATCGGGGCACCACCCCAACCTGGTGCGGTTGCTGGGGTTCTGAATTCCTGCCTCCCTGATCCCTCCCCCCTACCCCCCATACACATCCCCCTCACAGATCAACGAGATGGCATCAAAGCACCACCCCAGCCTGGTGCGGCTGCTGGGGTTCTGCATGGACTATGATGCGGCGGCGGAGCGCATGGAGCAAATCGCCATCTACGAGTTCATGCCAAACGGGGACCTGTACCACCGCATGCATGGTGATGCCACAGGTGAGCACCAGCCGCACCCCCGCCTTTTCCTCTTGCTGCTCTTGCATGCTCCTCCTCTTGCTGCTCTTGCCTGCCCCTCCTCTTGCGGAGCGCATGGAGCAGATCGCCATCTATGAGTTCATGCCCAACGGAGACCTGTCACCGCATGCACGGCAATGGCACAGGTGGGCACCACTGCCTGCTCCTCCTCTTGCAGAGCGCATGGAGCAGATCGCATGCATGGTGATCTCATCTACGAGTTCATGCCCAACGGGGACCTGCACCGCCGCATGCATGGTGATGCCACAGGTGGGCACCCCCACATGTATGGTGATGCCACAGGTGGGCACCCCCGCATGCATGGCAATGATGCCACAGGTGGGCACAGCACTTTTGAGATGTCTCACGGAGCGCATGGAGCAGATTGCCATCTATGAGTTCATGCCCCATGGGGACCTGTACCGCCGCATGCATGGTGATGCCACAGGTTGGCACCACTGCCTGCTCCTCCTCTTGCTGCTCTTTCTCTGCTCCTGCACTTCTCTTCTGATACCTTTCCATTGCTTCTCTCTTTTGCTTTGTTCTTCAGGTAATATACCCCCCCTGACCCTGCAGCAGCGGCTGGACATTTTGATAGGAGTGGCGCGCGCACTGGAGTATCTGCACAGCTTTGGCATCATGCATCGCGACATCAAGCCCGCCAACATCCTGCTCGACAAAAACATGCAGGTGAGCTTGTTCTCAGGATGCTAACAGGCGAGTGCAGGCCCTGATGGGTATCTCGTGAGAAGCCAACATGCAGGTGAGTACAGGCGAGTACAGGCGAGTACTGACTCCGTAACACCTCATTCCATCAGCATCACTTTGACACACTTGGTCACTGTTTCATGCGGTAAATGGCAAAAGCGTCATGGTGCTCTCTTGTCCATTTTGC